CCCAGTGCTGGTCACGGCAGGATTTGGGCATTTTCCTGCCCCTCTTGCGAGTGGGGTGTGAGTGTCCTTGTACCGAGGGAGGAAGCCACAGTGAGGGTGTGAATGTAATAAAATCACTTTACAGTCGGTGGCCCAGAGGTGACACTGGTGGCTGCCACTGCCTCAGGGCTCCCAGCCTCAGTGCCATGCAGGACACACGACAAACCTGCCAACTGGAGGGTGGAGGACACCGAGATGCTCCTGTCTCTCCTGGGGCTTGGACAGGGTTATATGGGATTGAGTSAAACTGCAGTGACCCATCCCTTAATGCATCCAGTGGGTGTAAATACCCTAAARCCTTTGCACTCAGTGCTTCCCAGGTTCTGCTTTCCAGTTCCTACAGGTCTCTCTTGTAGACATAACCAGCTCATTTTGGTCAAAGTGGGTCGTTTTTCTGGGTCCCTATTCGGACACTATCCCAGCATCAGTGGAATCATGGTCTGGGAGGAGTCTGACTGAAAAGGAGACATAGTCCAGAAAACTTGTGACCCTCCCTGTGACCATCCCTGGGACCATCCCTGGAACCCTTCCTGTGACCCTTCCTGTGACCATCCCTGTGACCCTGGAACCCTCCCTGTGACCATCCCTGTGACCATCCCTGTGATCCTTCCTGTGACCCATCCTGGCAGCTTGGACCACCACAAATGGTGAGTTCAAAAAGAGACTTTTTAGAAAGAGCCAAAAAAAAAAAAGGCTTTAATCAGTGGTAACCAGAGGAGAAATGCCTCTTCACGATGGCTCCTTGATTGCCAGATGCCCTCTCCCACTGCTCAGTGAGGAATCCTGCCGTCCTCACCCTGAACTGGCAATGGCAGGAGCCTCATTAGCACGTGCTAATAGCTGGAATTAGGCTCCCTTGCATGGAGCATACAGACAAGATGCAAATGGACTTTGTGGGGCCCTTGGGACAGCTCAATGGTTTACATTGCCTTTTGTTCCAAATTGGCTGCCGAAGCTGAAACCTCCAYTGATTTAATCCTCCCAGACTCCGACATCCAAGCAAGCTCTTTTTCAAATGGCACCCCCAAATGTTCTGTTTTGATCTTTCACCTGATGCAGAAGGGTTTCCTTTTCTCTCGGGTGTCAGGGCCCCGGCTGCAGCCAGCAGTGGGATGCTCACCCGTGAAGCTGATTTGTAGTATTTTTCAGGAGGTRGTGTCCAACAGGCTTAAACATCATTGCTACCGTGCTGCAAAACCAAAACAGGGGTGAAATGGAGTTTTATGTCAGGAAAATGCCTTTTGAGAGCATTAATGGCAAAAGTAAACAGTGTGTGGKTTTTTTGCCCAGCCTGCAGAATCCAGCTTTTAATGGGACTGAGATTTGTTTTAATTTTATTCACGTGTTAGAGGAACAATGCCAGCTTTAAAACTGACACATGTACATTTCCTTACCTCAAGCCTGCTTTAACCACAGCATAGTAAGGTAAAAACAGCTTAACAGTCCAGGCTGCCTGTCTGAACTTGGATAAAACTCATATAAGAAGATGATTCATGTGTTTATAGCTGTTTTCACTTTCAGGTCACAGTTGGGTAATATAGATAGCAGCAGAACTGAAGAAAAGCTTTCACTGCAGTTGCTGTTTTTCTGAGCAGGAAAAGCATTTCACTCAAGTGTGGACCCTGCAAATCCTTACCTTCCACTTTGATCAATAATTAGGGCACAGTGAAGTTGCTGATGTTCCACAATTCACTCAATGCTTCATCCCATATGGGTCTGACAGGTCARAAGCTGAAACAGATTAAATGAGGTTCAGGCATTTCCACTGGAAAWAAAATAGCTCTGTCCTGATTCATGCTTTGAGAACACTGCCAGCATTTGACAGATACTTAAATAAGGACACCTATATTGGTGTTGTTTTAAATGTATTTGGGRTATTTCAGGTTTTCAGGCCTAGATTGGATGCTCCTGATTCTTTAATATGAATATTAAATCTTACAATGACTTTTAGTAGGTATATCCCAGGGCTGAGTGCGAGTCTCTGCAGAGTGAACTAAATTGAAAATGCTGCTCTGGAAAGATATGGCAGATACTTTGCTGAATTTGGGCCACAGAAGGAGATGGTGCAGCATCCCAGCATTGTGCCAGATGTTGTGTCCTCCTTTTGGGAGCAGCTTCCTATCTCTGGTTTAAACCCTTATTCAGATTTTGCTCAGGTAAAACTCCCCATGTTCTCCAGGAGTTCAGGCTCTCTTTATCTCTTTGACAGGCAGCTCTGGAGGTTTGTTYTTCTCTGATGCCTAAAACACCTGCCAGACCACTGCAGTCATTAAGATGAAAATTAAGTGTATTTAGATAGATTGTCTCACATGTGAGGTTTCTTTATGTTACTCTTCCAACCAAATGAGCASGTGCCTACTGCCAACCCTTCTGGGTTTATACACCACTGCTTGAAAATGAAGAGGAAATGTTAAAGATGGAGCTTTATTTCCATGCTCACACTGTTGCTAATTTCTAACAGATTGGTGCACAGAAACTCCTTAGGAATTGCATTAGACTGAGGTAGCTCAGAGAACCCCCAGTCTGTCCTGACTCCATCCACACATGAGGCTGATGGACCAGGCTTAGGAGATCATACGTTGTTTAGGCTTTAACTAAGCTGTGAGAAGAAAACCTTATAGAGGGACATTAAAGAAACATTTAAAGCAGTTGGAATTTAAACTGAAGGGAATTAATGGCAGTGGCCAGAGGGGACAGGGATTGTCTGCAACTACTGGCGGATGAGAACAGAGAGAGTTATTTCCAGGGGTGATGAGTCTTTAAATCCTCTTACTAAATGTTTGTTTTTACATCATGGTCTTCATGGCTCCATGTGTCCATAGTCAAACTGGTGGGAGTGGCAGTCAGGGGGCTCCTGTGGCACAGGGACCTGCAGAGCCACAGATCACAGTGCCTGGCTGTCCCTGCCTTGGTGAGAACAGAACACATCAAACTCWTGTTCCACAGCAGAATGAATCCATWRCAATAGAATCCATGGATCTTTTAGCTGCTGCAGCCAGATTTTCATCTCTGCTGGCACACCTGGGTGAAAAGCAGCAATATCCAAGAGTCCAAAAGTCTGTCTGAGAGATTCTGGTGGCTGCTGGAGCCCACCCAGCATAGAGCTGCTCCCAGATCCAGCTCCACGGGTACAGCCATGGCTACAAGCTCTTCCCAGAAGACAGAACCATGTCCAAAATCATCCTTTCTTCTAAAAAAACTCTTCTTTTAAATCTCTGCTGGCATCTGTATTTCACAGCTGCCTGTTCTACATCAGATCAAGATCTACCTCTACTTTCTCTCTTCTACAAGCAACTTTTCAGGTCTTTGTGAAACAACCCTGGAAGTTTGCTAATAAACTGCCAGGCTTTGGGCTGGCTGGTTGTGAAGGTTTTGTAAAACATGTTGCCAGCTATTYCAGCCCTGGTGCAGCTGAGACCCTGAAAGTTAAACGTGGTCAGCAGGAACATTTACRTGCTTGCTAAGTCTGCACATTTGGATTCCTTCCACTTATGATTTATGGAACAATTTAGAAATTTGGGATAAAGTTTTCTATTTATGCTTCCCTCTAGCATGTGGAAACTGAAAGTTCATCTTAACTTTGCTGTTTATTCATCTCCACAAATAATCATCACCAATCTAGAGGACACGTGCCATACCATTCATCTTGGTTAGTGAAACATTTTCATTTTCTACTTCATGATCCAGTTAAAGTTGCAGTCTGTAGCCTGCCTGTAAACACCCCAGAACAGAGCTGACAGTCATATGCAATGTAATCTAGCATATCTTCCATATTTAATTCTTTGTTTCTTCACAAATTGAATTTTAATTGTAGTTGGARCCTTCCTACTGATCTGCTTGGAAACAGAGCAGGATTTTCAGGTGTCCATTGGGAGAGCAGCTTTGTCACCAGCCTGTCCCCACAGCAGCACACGAGCTGGCCCCAGTGCTGCTGCTGAGCCA